AAATTTTTTAACATATTTGTATCATTTTGTAAAAATTGACAAAAGTATTTTATTTTCAATTGTTCAAACTTATTAATCTATATAGAAACTTTAATCTGTTATATAGAATAATTTGCACTATATATGTGATATATAACGCTGCAAATTTATATATTTATATTTCAATATTAATCGTTATTATCGTTACATGAAAGAGCGATTTAAATAATTATTCGATAATTATCTCTGTTAAGTTTTTTTATTTTTATCATTAAAGACATGCAATTCTCAACTGTCAGATTTACTTATGCATCTTCTACGTAACGATTTTTTATGTCCTATCCAACGTATAAATAAGATGCACATTTCATCGAGAAACCAGTATCTCAGAAGTTAGTCTAAAAATATAAGAGACAATGGCTCGGTTAAGCTACATTCTAACGTTCATCAGTATTGCATTGATGTGCGTTCTCGCAGAAGAAAAACTTTATTCCGATCAATATGACGATATTGATGTAATGAAAATCCTCGAGAACGAGAAACTGCGAAAGCAATATTATAATTGTTATATGGATAAAGAACCATGCGTGACAGCAGATGCGAAGTTCTTTAAAGGTAAACCTACACATAGAAATATTTCAATTAATTTATATGTGACAAATTAATTTTTTTTAGTAGACTGTCTGATTGTAAGAAATAAAGTGTTTCTTAATATCCAGATGCGATGTGGAATAATAAATAAATATAAATAAAAAGGTTTTGTTGGAAGCATAAAAAAAGAAAATAACAAAATAATTATTAGATTTAATTTCAAAAGAATAAATTTTATTTTAAGTTGGGAAATTTAATCAGACTATTTTAAAAATGGAGAAATTATGATAATAATATATCTTGAATTTTTCCTATATAAGAAAAATTAATATTGACAAATTACACAAAAATTTAAATAAAATATAGTAGTAGAATGTGTGTGTGTGTGTGTGTGTGTGTGTGTGTGTGTGTGTATGCGCGCGTGTATATGTATGCAAGAAATATTCCGTATTATTTGATAAATATTTTTGTATTATTAATTTTCGAATATTTTTTTAATTTCTAATAAATAAAAATGATAAACAAATTTTGATTATTAAATATCATTTATTATAAAAACAACATAGATATCAATTTGCTAAGTATTTTTGCTTCAAATTTTACTTTTCTATATTTTTCTATAAATATCTATAAATCTATATCTATAAATTATAATAAAGTATTAAGAAAGAAAAAAAGAAAAAGAAAAGTAAGGATCTTTTATTCTTGCTATAAATTAAGATTTGTACGTCAAATTTTGTTATTTTGATTTCAGAGATTTTTAGCGAAGCTCTCCAAAGTAATTGCAAGAGATGTACCGAGAAGCAAAAGGACATACTAAATCTAATAGTGGATTGGTATACAAAGAACAAACCTGATGAATGGGAAGCTCTCGTTGCGAAATCTCTAGAGGATATGAAAAAGAAGAATGCTAATTAGCAATAAGCAATAATTGTTGAAATAACTGACAAGGAAAACACGAAAGGAATTGAAAATGTATATTAATCATCTACGAAATGAATCTTTTATATTCGCACATATTTCTTCGAGAAAGATAGAAATTCCGAGATAATTATTAACAATACTTATATTGTAGTATCATGTTATTGAAATAAAACGTAGAAATATAGTCGATTTTCATTTTGTAAAAATTATAACCATTCATTTTTCCGATATAAATTACGCTGTGCTCATTTGCAACAACTTTACTTAAATATAAATCTATAAAAAAATCTAAAAAAAGAGTAAAATGATATTTTTAATTCTAATATAACTTTGTAAAAATTTCATCAAAACTAAAAAATAAATAAAATAATATAATTCAAATATATTATCACTCTTAAACTAATTACTTGATAAAACATTATTTGGATTATTATTCAGTAGGAAAAGTGGAAAAATTATCATAATTATTCAGACGGTTCATTTCCTGAAAAAATTTGTGAAACCTGAAATTTTCTCGAAAAGAAATTTTTTTATATTGTTAAAAATTAGAAAATCTTAAAATTTTATTAAAACTTAAAAAATTTTTCTTTTAAATTTAAATTTAAAAAAATTTTTTCTCAGAAAAAAATTGATAAAATTGTCAACAAATGTTTGGTCATTTTATTTTTATAACACAAATTATCAGTAATTTGCCAATTATGTAACTTAGCAATTAGTATGACAGTCCTATTTGCATATATCATAATATATATAATTTGCATATATATTCGCAATTTACGAATTTTTATAAAGAAAATTTTATATCTCTTAGAGCAATCGAATCGAGTCAAAATATTTACATCCAAATATTAAATAGCTTTCCTTCGTAATTTCTTTGAGAAAACATTTAAAAAATGCGCTTAATAAACTTATTTTTAAATTATATCTAAAATTAATTATATATAAATTAATTTATATCTAAAAATTTTATATTTTTACTTAGAATTTTAAAAATAACTTGGAAAATCCGAGAATTCTCAGAATATATTTTTATAAGATTTCAAAAAATATTCTGTTGTTATTTATTATTTATTTATTAAAAAATAAAATAATTATTTTTATGAAAAATAAGAGAACAATAATTCTTGGTAAAGCATTATACAATCTGTTCTGAAATCTTAACAGAATAAATTCACCTCTATTCTTGATAATAATATTAATTATATAGCAATATTAAGCAATTATGATTAATTACTATTATTATTTCTTAGCTATTTCTCTATATAATTGTTTTTCATTCTGATAAGAATCTAAATGTAATAATATAGTCAGAATGAAATAATGATTCTCTGTGTTTAGAAACGTGTATGTTCTATATATGGTGCTATAAATTGTTTATTTCAATGACATATGAAGTATATGAAATATTCTTAGAACACATGCAACATAATACATACAATCATGCATTATATTACGTTGTTATTCTTTAGTCATTAGTCATTAGTTGATATTTGATCGGAGATGAGAAGGTATTTTATTATAATTAAAAATGAAAAAAATAAAAACATATTATCTGCACGCATGTATGAAAATTAACGTTTTATGTTCCTGAACTCGTTTGTTATCTTATTATTAATATCAATAATTGCTTGTATTTATTGACATCTTTATAATTTTGTAGATAAAAAAACTTTATAATTTTATAGTTATTAAATAAATAATAAGTTATTTTAAATTATTCATAAAATTTACATCATATCAAATTAATATAGTAGAGCATCACAAACCCACCTATTAGATATCCTTTTATTCTATATTGATTTGTTAGTTCGATAAATAGCCAGTTTTTTTTCAAATATTTAAGTCAATTATATGTATATGAGAACAAAATAAATAAAGTACAATCTGAAAATTAAATTTAAGAAATTATATTAAAAATGTAAAAATTAATGCAATAGACATCACTAATGCATGATTGTATGTATTATGTATGTATTATATTGCATATATTATGTTCTAAGAATATTTATTTATATGTCATTGAAATAAACAATTTATAGCACCATATATAGAACATATACGTTTCTAAACACAGAGAATCATTATTTCATTCTGATTATATTATTGCATTTAGATTCTTATCAGAATGAAAAACAATTATATAAGAAATAGAATAG